GTTTTGCATATCTTCAATACGCTTACCTGTGCCCTTTCAGAAAATCAAAAGGAAAGAAATAAACCACACATTTTACAGCATACAAAGGTAACTTATTTTGGTCTATATCAATTAAAAATGATAAATTTGATCAGTGTATATGGCATACATAGATACATAGAAGTAGGAAAAAGATCTTTTTTTCAAATGTGTGGTTCATAGATAAAGAAAATACTTTAGAGCATCAGCAGTTTTTTAAAATGATACTACTTATCTCTTGACTGCTACTGTACTTACTGTGCATATTTAGATAGAGCCAAGACTCGTCTATCTATGTACTTGCTTCTACATGAAAGGTGATGTTCATTTAAAATCACAAAACTTTTCTTTTTCGAAACAAGAAAAAAAATCTACGCACATTTAGTTCCCTTAAATGCTTCATGTCAGAGTGCTTTTTATATACCAATTGCATAACACTTAGGAAATGGAATTTCAATGCTTTGGAGAGAATAGATAGAGAATAAGGGAGGAGAAGATATAAAAAAGAGGAACTTTTACCGATTTCCAATGGTAGTATGATCTGTACAATTGCTTTAAAATCAATGTGGTATTACTTCATAATAATGAAAAATGTGTTTCCCATATGATACAGTCATTCTACTCCTGCTTAAATGATCAACTGAAATTCTTGTTTATGGGCAAAAAAAAATGTACTTTCATTATAGAAAATGTGAAAAAAATAAATCCCAACATCCATATGAAGAGGAAGATTAATGAAGTGGGATATATTCACCATGAAATATTAAATATATTGGAAAATATATTTACACTATATATTGTATATGATATATTTATAAAGTAATAGAACTCTATATACAACAATGTGGATAAATTATATACAACTATATTTAACTATATACAACAACATGGAAAATAATATTGTTTTAGGATAAAGAGAAAAAAAAATTAATTGTCTCTGGCCAAGATGCAGGGAGCTAGAATAGGGAAGTAGACTCTAGATGAGCTCAGAATGTTTTCCTAAGTTGGAGTTATACTTTATTATTCTGCTTTACATATCATACATGCTCCCTATATTCTTGTGTATGTATCAAATGTTACATTTAAAATAAGAATATGGCATTTAGGTCAAGACTCATTCTAATAGTAGTACAAGATTTCAATGTCCCAAGAAAGCTAACACAGAAGTAACTCTCAAATAAAAATGCTATCTTATAAGGGACTACCACTCATTAAAAAATAAATAAATAAAAAAAGCCCCATTCTTGAAAGAATCAGAATTTATGTAAACATTACCTGTCCTCTCATGGACGCTACTGCAGGATGCCATTTTGACATTTCCTACATAACATGGGGAATTGAAAAAAAAAAAAGAAAGAAAGAAAAAATATTATAGTAGGATACTTACCCTACTGCTTTTAAGTGTAATGTTTGTATATTATCTCAAACACAAGAGGCAGAATGAGAATATCCAGGTAAAAACAGGATGCAGGATTGAGAATGTAGTGGGGGGAAAAAAACAGATATGAACCACACTATTGGGAACAGGTACAATACTCAGGTTTATTCTGGAAGGAAAGAATGTAAAATAAATAAATACATAAATGATAGAAAACATGTTTCTGCTGGTATGACTGCTATGGTGCTATGCTACTTTTTGATTTAAGAACTGGTCTGTTCTCCAACTTCTGAAAGGTAACTCGAACCTGAGAAAGGTTTCTGCCATTTACAACACTAACAACTGGTATTGTTTTCTGAGGTATAGGAAGTTTAGCTGTTAGTTTAGTTCTTTCCTAAAACTTTAAATGTTACCTTAAATATCTCCCTCCCCTCTCACTTTGATCCATCTTACAACCCAAAAGATTTACATGTAATCTCCAGCCATCTGACTACTGAGTTTTCCCTTGAATCAAGCTCTTAGCCCTCACCTTACCTTCTAGGGCAAGTCAACAAACTTGGGTGAATAAGCCTGCTCTCTCGGAAGTGTCGTGGGATTTCCCTTTACTTGAGTGGGTACTACATTCCAGGATCTAATCTCTCTGCTGGAATTTCTCAACTCCTGGCACCAAGCTGCTCTTGAAAATGCCTGAGAGTGTGGTCCACAAGACCCAGGGGCCCAGGGGCAGGACAGGCAAAGAGGAGCAAAGGGTCTTGGACACTCACGGGGTTGACCTGGATAGCATCATCGGTGGCAGAAGTACAGTGCAGGCACATGCTGCCGAGTCTCAGGGCCCAGGGTGTCCACTACCTGAGTGTACAGCAATTGCGGGAAATTTTAGCCCTGCGCTCCCCCGCCGCAGCCCCCACAACCACTGCAAGCCCCGCCCCATCACATCACAATTCTCTTTATCTTGGTGACACGGCCCCGCCCTTTCGCTTCCTAGTCATCCAATCCCCGTGCAGAGAAATTGAGGTTGCCAGATATGTGGGGAGTATCTGTGAAATTAAGAGTATCGGGCAACCATAACTCCCCATCATTTCAGCTCTCTTGCTTGACCACAACACACCGATATTCTGCCATGTATAGCCATCCTCTTTATTCTTGCTCCATGGACCTTTGTTCACATCTTAAAATATGAATATAGGTTACTTGGACCCTCATGTCATGACATTAGGGTTGGTCTGGCCACTGTTCTTCTGTTACAACTTCCAGTTGTATCCAACTATTTGCCTTCTGTCAGTGGTAATTGGAATGAAGGGGTGCAGGGAACAAATTTGAACACTGCTACAAGTTCATAATCTCCAACACTAAATTGTGTCCCCGCCAATATATGACACTTCTTTTATATTTCACTAACTCATTTTGTTGTTGTATTCTGTAGCATTCCCTTTAACTCCTTTCAGTTAAAATCCTTGAGCCTTCCATCACCCAGTCACTTTGAGCACAAGTAGGACAGATCTTGTGTCACACACTGATAATGTTATAATGGCTAACACATAGCACAGTGCTTATGCTCAGCACTGATGCGTGATTTTTTATACAGTAACTCATCAGGTTCTTGCAACAACCTAAGCTGTTGAGTGATTAAGTGGCATGTTGAATAATCCAAGGTAAACAATTAGAGGTTGATTTGGGAATTAAGTCTGTCTCCAGAGCCTGTGTTTTTAATTGCTGTACTTTGCAGACAATTTCTTTTAAAAATCCTGACTGGAGTCAGCTCAATTACCTGCCATCTATAGGTCCATAACCTTCCAGTATCCACACTGCCTTCTTCCTTTCAATCTTGTAGAAAAAAAAAAAAAAAAGGTTACCCCACCTCTCTTGCTGAACAAATCTTTTCATGTATTTCCATGCCATTTTCCTTCTAGAAGCCTCCTCAAGATCTTGCTCTATAGATTATTTTCTTCTTATTAACTTCTAAATCATCTTTTTCCTATAAACATTTAAGGGCTAATTTTCAAATCTTCTACTCTTCAAATTAATAAACCAAAGCCATTGAATGACAAATAATCATAACTATGGTTCATTCCATTTTGGATAACAGTCGTTTCTTTACATCCAGTGTACTACTGTTTGGCTCATAGCACCCTGCTTCATGCTTCCTACCCCTATGGTGCTTGATCCAAAACACTCATAAATGATCTTCGTGTTGAAGTTATTTTTCACTTTTTGCTACATGGTTTTTGTGTGTCGTTAAAAACTGGAGTTAGGCTTAGAAAAAAAAATAATCTACCTCTCTATAGTGGGCTAGATTAACCACTTATATGAATCTCTTCTTTCTGGAAAGAATATGACTTCGAAAAAAAAATGTAATCTTGCTTCATTGCTGAGGATCAAGAGACATTTTAGGAGGGAACACTTTCTGGCAGGGATTGATGTGATAAAGAATAAAACCAATTCTAAGTGCGTAAAAATAATTTGGAAACTGAAAACAACTGCTGATGGAGACAACTGCTACAAGAGGTGAAGTGTATTTGTCCACACGACACTAAAACAGTTAAGCCTAATTCTCTACCTGCTTCCAGGGCTCTCTCCATTGCCCCCTATTGGCTAAAGTTAGGAACTCCAGCTGGCTATATTTCTAGAGATATAAAGTAAGCGGAATTTCAGTCTTAATTTTACAGAGCAGAATATAGATGAGTGGGTTTAGAACGAAAACAGGTTAATAAGTAGCCCAATAACTATCCTGCCCTAAAATCAATCGCAGTGCTTTAACTATTATGTGTTTGAAAATGGTTTCAAATTTCCCCACGCTCCAGGTTGATAACTGTAAAACACTCTCTAGTCAAGCAATCTCTTGCTCTCAGCACAAATCTCCAAAATGTGATAGAATCAATAGTGAAGGGGGACAAGAGCAGTAATTCTCCAAATCTGCACAGTATATTTGCATAACATTGTCTTTGCAAGCCAAATAGCAAAGACAATTTAACTGTGAAATGATTTATGTAACCCCCGTAACATTAGATGCATAGAGAATGATATTCATGCTTCATCATGTCCGACTGGTTCAGAGTACCAATTCTGAAATTATACTTCAGAAAATACCAATATTCCAAAATAATTGCACTTTTCTATGAAGTATGAAACAATAAGCCTCCTCCCCCCCACCTTTAGGTACTAAAATTCCAAATATCTGGTTAAACAAATTTATTTATCTTGGTTAAACCTTCTACATTAAGCACAGTTAAGTGATTATTTTTGCTGTAGGACTACTGAGACACTGTAAATGCAGTTTCCCAAAAGGGCATAGATTTTACAGTTTTTCTCCAATTATTTTTGTTATGAAGCCTCTTTAGGGCAGGTCTCCTGTAATCTTTCAGTTATATCTAGAGAATTTTAGATTAATAATCATATAGTAGTTATTTCTGACTGCTTAAATATTATTTAATATTAATTTAACCAGGTCTTCTATAAACTGCATCAACAATTCTCAATGTAAATGTTTCAGTCAAAATTATCCCACATCCAAGTATCTGTCTCACTTGCTGTCTATGCAACAGCTACTAATTTTTGTTTTACATCTCAAGTGGCTGTTTCATAATGCAAATATGATTAGCCTTTTGGGGAATTTCCACACTGCAGCTGGTGTTTTTATTCCCTTTATTTGGGTGCTTGATACATATACAATGATAGAATCAGAGTACTATTGCATTTATCAATACTGTATCTATGTCCAGGATAAGAGTTATTCGCTATAATTTTCTTGAAGCATTCAGTATTTGAATTTTGCTTTGCAGATGATGTGACTTGAGATTTGTATATGTGCAAGATTATTTTATTTAATTCCCTGTATTTAGAGAGTTGTTAATTTAGCAACTGAATTTATAAATACATGGGAATCTTTTTTTTTAAATAAAGATTTATTTATTTATGCATACAGAACTGGGGTACAGGCCAGGGGTGCAGGGGCGGGTGAGAAGATTCACCATCAACTGTGAGGCGGGAATCGAACTTGTGCTGCACTGGCTTTAGCTTCTTAGTGCTGTGCTTTAACCCGCTGTGTACCAGGGAGGGCCCTGAAATCTTTTATTCACATTTAAGAAAAAAACGCATGCCCAAGAGGAGCAGAGTCAAGACATGACAGATAACTCCCTGCCGGCAAGCCTTTCCTTTAAGGACAACTGCAAAACAACCATCACCCACAGGTCACTGCCAGTGTGATTTGAGCAACCATCCCACGGATGAGTGTTCTTTTATTCACCAACATTTGGAGCAGAGAGCCCTGGCTCTCCAGGCAGCCATTTCCTCAGACAAAGCTTATTTGAAAAATCGGTGTTTCTTTACAGTCCCTTTGTTTAAAGGTGCACTTCCCAGTAAACTATTGAGGAGAGAATTGGCTCCGATGCACATACATTGGCACTGGGGACGTCCCTCCGCGGCCAGTGTGAAATAATAGTGAATTTAGACTGAGCCCTAGACAAATGGATCAGCTCCTGAGCACTGATCTGGTCATAGCTGGAGTCCTACGGGTGCACCATCCCCTCTACTCTTCAAGGAGAGAGTTCTCTGGAGGCTGGAGAGAAATCTGCTGTGATTCTGGAGTTCCCCCAATAGTAATGTGGGGACCCACCTCTGGAACTGAATGCAGCCAGGTCAGATGGGTAGAGATGGAAGCAGCAGGTATTACCACCCTGCTGAGCCCTTTCCCCATCCAAGGCTGTGAACACTTGAAGCTCGCAGGCACCCTCTCCCCGAAGTCCTCTCTCCAACCGACTTGGTGCATAAAGAGGAGCCCCAAACTAAAATCACCCCATCACCTAATGGGGACGGGAGGGGGGGATGAACAATACTCAGGTGAAAGAAGAGGCAACACAAAGAAAATAACATTAAAAAAAACAAACAAAAAACGAACAGATCTGAATCTAAGCTTTATGATTCAGAATTGGAGGGTGAGTAGACAGTTCAGAAGAGTCATTATGAAGAATTTCAACAAGTTTGAGACTCTCAGTTGGACAGCTTCAGAACACCAGAAAAGATGCCCTGGGACAAAATGAATCCCTAGAGAAGAAACGGAAGCTTACTTTAAAAACCCACGTTTTTTTAATGCCCCCTTTTGTTTCAAAATGCATATCCCAGGGGACTGGGATATTAAGTGAGCAGTTACTGGTGATGTTAAGTGAGCAGTTACTGTATTTGGAAGTTATGAAAATCACTCTAAATAAGGTTTACAATGATCACATTAAAGACTAACAACATCAACAACAAAATGGCAGCTTTGGTGATCCTTAATACACAACTAAAGGTAAAGGGAAAGAACAAACAACTTACACGAATGAGTACTTAGCTTAGCAAAAAAGCTGGAATTTTCAAAACACTGTATTTTGAGGTGCTAGGGTGGGAGCGAAATGAAAAGTCTAAAAACTGCTCAAATATAACTGGTGGCAATTAAGACAATGATGCTGAAAATGCAGTGATGAGGTAGAATAAAACTTGTGAGTACTGAAAGCAGCATTATTTCTAAAATAATATGTTATTTATCAAATGGTTTTAATTGAATGTGTAACAAGATTAATAACATATGTCTTGCAAATAGATAATTGGCTATTTTAATCTATTTTTGTCTTTTGTTCATGCATTTTAAATTTTTTATATTTTTACATAATTCTTCATTTTGTGCATTTTTTCATCTCAGTTGTAATTCCCACGGGCTTCCCACCACTAATTCATCCATATTTTAGCTACAGCTCTAGAGGTATAAATAGTCAAGTTGGGCCTTTCCTGGTGGCGCAGCGGGTTAAAACGCAGCACTGCAAGCAAGCCACAGCCACTTCAGTGCGAGTTCCATCCCTGGCACCAGGCGACCACCTAAATAAATTCTTTCGCTTTTATTTGGAATATTTTAACTATATCCTGTATAACAATTAAAATGGTTGGACAAAATTGTGAACAGGTCTCCTTACAGGAAAGAACCCAGTCATACAGTGACAGCAAGAATACAATGCGTGAATTAGTATAATTAGTATAATTCTTAGAATCTGGAGGTCTGGGTATATTAGTATAATTAGTATAATTCTTAGAATCTGGAGGTCTGGG